ACGATCTCGACGCGGCCGTGTCGATCAACCTTGAAGGTCTTTTCGTGACGAGCGATCACGCGAAAAGGGCCTTCGTAAGGTTGTTGCAAAGGTTTGCGTACCGAATCTACTCGTATGAAAACATGTGAACAGGTAGATAACTCTCGAGGGAGAGCGACCTGTCGATGTTGTATTCGAGTTGACACCGGAGGCAGCGTTCGCATAAATGCAGACAGTCGTTGGACGTAGTCTGATTTAGCGAAATCAGGTCTGCTCCGTGGTGTGAAGAATTCCCCGGGCAGACGCAATGTCGTGCCGTAAACAAGTTCAGCGGCGGAACATTGGATATCTGCCTTTAAACTCGTTCTGATACCTAAAAGAACGAGCGGTAAGGTTTCGTACCAGTCGTCGTTTTCGTGTGCTCGAAGAGCACTTTTAAGTTGCCGGTGAAACCTTTCAACTAAACCGTTTGAAGCTGGATGGTAGGCGGTAGTGCGTATTCGTTCCGTACCAAGCAGCCGAGTAAGTGAGGAGAATAGTGCGGACTCAAATTGTTGTCCTCGGTCAGTCGTGACGGTCGAGGGACAACCATATAGAGCTATCCATCGTTCTACGAAGCGGTGAGCAATTGTCTCCGCCGTGATAGACGTGATGGGTATAGCTTCGGGCCATCTGGTAAAGCGGTCGATGCACGTGAGTATGTGATCATACCCGTGCGATGGTGGCAGTGGTCCTACAATGTCTAAGTGAACGTGATCGAAGCGAGCATCAGGCGTAGCAAATGTGCCGAGGGGGGCGGCTACGTGCCTGTGCACTTTTGATCGTTGACATTGTAAGCATTGCTTAGCCCACATACGAACATCTTTATTCATGGACGGCCAGACGTATCGTGCAGCGATGAGACGTAATGTAGCTGCGATACCTGGGTGAGATAATCCATGCAGGGCATCGAATACGAGACGGCGATAAGCAGAGGGTACGATGGGTCGAGGAAGACCGGTAGAAGTATCACATAGAATGGTGCCAGAAGTCGCGGCTAGAGGTACTTCCTGATACTGAAGGGACGTAGAGTGTGGTGCTTTTGTACAGCTGGGATCGTTTGCTTGGGCAGCGGCCATAGCAGGAAGATCGAGCACCGGCAGGGTAACTGCATTCATTTGGATTCGTGATAGAGCATCGGCAACACAGTTCGACTTGCCTTGGATGTGACGAAGGTCTGTCGTGAACTGGGAGATATAGTCCAAATGTCTGCACTCTCGTGGTGAGTAGCCATCAGACTTGGTATGCAAAGCATACGTTAAGGGCTTATGGTCGGTGAATAAGATGAATCAACGTCCTTCTACTGCGTGCCGAAAATGTTTGATGGCGCATTAGGCTGCTAGCAGCTCGCGACCAAAAGCGCTATATCTCGTCTCCGTGGTAGTAAGGCGTCGTGAGAAAAACTCGAGGGGTTGCCAACTACCGGAGATGTTTTGTTGCATGACTGCTCCTATAGCAACATCGGATGCATCAACCGCTATACTAAGCGTGGCTGATGGATCGGGATGGGCGAGAAGAGTGGTTTGCGCAAGAGCCGTTTTATTTCAGTGAATGCAGTACGTGCAGAATCGTTCATTTCTAATCTGCGTGGGTTGCCGCGTAGTAAGTCGGTTAGTGGTCGTAACCGTTCTGCCGCGTGTGGGATGAAACGACGGTTGAAGTTAATCAAACCGAGAAAAGCCTTCAGTTCCTTGAGTGAGGACGACACGTTGTACTCCTTTATTGCTTGCTCTTTGTCCTCACAAGGTAGGATACCCTCTTGCTTGATAACATGACCCAGAAATATTATTTCTCGTTTACCCAAATCGCATGTGTCTGGGTTAACTACTATTTCATTATCCGAAAGGCGTTGGAATAATAGCGTAAGATGTTGATAATGTTCATCTACGTTTGATGATGCGATTAGCAGGTCATCAATATAGACGTGAACAAAATCGAGGTCTTGTACAATGCTATCGATAGACCTATGAAAAGTTTGAGCAGCATTCCGTAATCCAAATGGCATTCGTAGGAACTCAAACAAACCGAAAGGAGTCGTGATAGCATTCATTTCGATATCTTCAAGAGCGACTGGGATCTGATGATATGCTAGTACCAGATCGATCTTAGAAAAGATAGTCGTGCCCTTGAGCGATGCCGTGACGTCGTGTATGTGGGGGATGGGGTAGCTATCAAAGCGTGTAACTACGTTTAGAGCTCGGTAGTCGCCTCATGGTCTCCAACTAACCCCATCATTTTTGCGCACCATATGAAGAGGAGAGGCCCATGGACTGTGAGAAGGACGAATAATACCAGTAGCTAGTAAATTGTCAAACTCACGCTTAGCAAAAGCAAATTTGTTCGGTGCCAGTCGGCGAGGTCGTGCCGTGACTGGCGGTCCGCGGGTGACTATGTGGTGTACCACACGATTGGTCACCGATGGAAGCTCCTCGAGTGGTTTAGTGAGTACGGGGAATTTCTCGAATAATGCGTGGAATTTATCGTCACGCGAAAAAAAAGTGCCGAGGATTCGGTACGCGTTCATGTGGGCTTTACAGCCCATGAATTTGCTGTTCGACGAAGTATCGATTAGCTGCAGCCTACGTGAATCGACAAGCAATTCATAGTGCTGTAGAAAATCGATACCTAGTATGGCTGTGGGAACATCAGCAATGATGAACGTCCACAGATACCGTCGTCGGTTGCCCAGGTTGACCGCGAGTTGTCGTGTACCGTAGGTAGGAATGACTGAGCCATTCGCAGCGCGTAGTCGAAGCACTGTGGCTTGTGACTTGCTGCTACCTCGTGGTACGACAGAAACTTGGGCCCCAGTGACTACTAGGAACCTAGCGTTTGTGCAATAATCGTGCACATAGAATAGGCGACCAATCTGGGGAGAAGGGCCGGCGAGTACGGCTGCTTTTACTCGCCGGCGCTGGCGTTTCCCGCCTTGTATGAGCATGGTGCTCGACAACGGCGGGCGCCAGACCCGAAGGACCTATGGAACCAGCACCAACTGTCACTCGCTTCCGTAGCCGCCTTTCGGCGTGGCTTGAAAGATGCCCTTTTTGGGCGAGTGGTGACGGCTTTGCGAGAACTTGAGCGAGCTCGGGGGACGTAGGGTTGGGGTACGTTACAACGGTCTCGAAAACTAAGACGTGTGTGAATACACCCGTCCCTGTCACCATGAGCTGAGGAATGACCGGCGTCCATGTCTACTTTAGGACGTGCCGTCGAAGCAACAACATAGGTGTCTCTATTGCTAGTCCTCGCCAAAATCTTGTCTGCTATGAGGGCTACCTGGTTAAGCGGTGAGTCCTCGAGCAGTGCCGTCACTGTGGGTTGGATATGCGCTGGTAGTGACTCAAGCCACAATTCCTTAACTATTTCTGAGTCACTTGCTGTTGGTCCTGCAAGAGATTGCAGGCGCGTGAGGTGGTGGCTAGGTTTAGCATCACCCAGGGGGTGACGTGCTAACAGTGTCCTCAATCGTTCCTCCCTTGATGGGAGGAAATGTCGGAGAATTGCCTCCTTGAGGCGGTCATAAACATTAGGCACGTTAGAATTGAGGACGACCTCACGAACAGCTACTAAATGGTCCCCGGGTAACGATTCGAGAGCGTAGGCATATCTTTGCCTTTGGCTCGTGATACGACGAGTCTCGAACTGAGACTCTATTGCAGCAAACCAGACCTCAGGGTCGTGGGGGATAAATGATACAGGTCGAAAATGAATGGCCTGTACGTCTGAGTCTATAACATTAATAGTATTCTTCTCGCTATCCGTCATGTCGTGTATATTATATATTAAAAATTAATATGAAAATATACGACAGACGTGGATAGATAAATAATAGACTCACCAAATTGACTTCTTTGGAAGATTTGACCCGAGGTTGCGGCGTGTTCCAAACTTTGGGATCACCAATTGTAGCGTGGCGTCGAGTTGAGATTAACTGTGAACACCGCTACCAGGAAACACGTGCCAGATAAATCAGAAGGCGAGAGTTGAATGTAACCAGATTTATTTCGTTGGCGATCTCGTGGTATTGAACGAATACCGAGATCGTGCCAAGAAGAGGTACAAGCGAAAGCAGAAGACAGGAGTACGTGCGAACAGTACCAAAAACCGCGGAACAATGATGGAAGGTAATGGAAGCACAAAATGGCTATAATTAGCACAGTTAAACAAAAGCACATTAAAACAAACACTGGTACAGTTGGTTGTAATAATAATTGTTTTTATTAAACCAGTCGTGTTCTCGTGATAAACGTGAGTCACTACACGTTCAAGAGCATAAAGATTTAGGAGTGGTATTAAGTCATGATTTAAAAACAGCTACGCATTGCAAGGCAGCCACTGTCAAAGGTTCTCGTGCGTTATGGTCACTTCGCCGAGAGTTCAAATCTTTTGACGAGGAAACGTTTCGAATTTTATATCCCATATATGTTAGACCACATTTAGAGTACTGTATCCAAGCAGATAGCCCATGCCTGGTAAAGGACACTAACTCCCTTGAGCGTGTCCAGAGTGTGGGAACGAAATTAGTGAAGGGTCTTTCTAAACTCCCTTATGATGAACGTTTAAAACGCCTAGACCTTTTCCCTTGTCGTATCGTAGGACTCGAGGTGACCTTATACTGGCATTTCGTATCTTTAATTATGATTTGGGTGTTAATATGTCTTATCTTTTTACTCCCTCCAGCACTAATAATCTCCAAGGTCATAGCAAAAGCTTCATCAGCCACGATCTAATAAACTTAAAGTGGGGTTCCGTTTTTCTCATCAAGTAGTCAATGATTAGAACGCCTTAGCGAACAAGTGGTATCAGTCTCATCAGTGAATATTTTCAAGGAGAAACTGGACCTTCACTGGAAGGCAATCTGTCAGGATTAACATAGGTTCACCAACCTACTATCTTTATTACTGAAGACTGAAGAAAGTCGCGTTCTCTTGATAGAAGTGGGTCACTACACGCTTATCTGTAAGGTCACTTGAACAGCGCTCAAAGGTCGTCCTTGAATTATAGTCTCAGAGGCCCAAGTGGATTACTTTTTCCTTCTGAGTATCTTTTGAATTAACAGTTAGTTGAGGTCGGTCCTGGGATAAATACTCGGTATCTACGGTTCCTTACGATAAGAGGTTATTATTATTATTTCGAATATGTTTACTACCTGTCTTGACAATTTTTTTTAATGGATATAAACCTTTTATGCCTATTCGTTCAACAACTTATGCTTCACCATAATCACTAAAATACCTGTAAGCAACATGACCATTGATTTGCCATTATATGTGGTATGCAATGCCACAAATGCACAGGGTGGCCTCATGTGATATGCATAGATTTCACTTCAACTGCTTACAATAGACTCATCAAATCTGATGATAGGTGGGTAATGGGCACAGGTAATATAAATTTAGAGGACATGCTGAGTAATATAATCAGTCTTCTGACCGGATTGAGGGAAATATTGTCAACAGCTCTGAAAGAAATCAGGTCCAGAACGCATATATGCGTTGGCTATAGCCAACGAAAGATAAGCGGTGGGCGCAAACTTCACTTGAGATATATTGTAACTCATCACCACACCAACATCAACGGTGTTAAATTCCCTCGGCAAGCTTTCGTCTCCTAGCTTAACCTCCAAATGCAACTGTGGTGTCTAGAATGACTACCATAGACGACTATAGTCGTCTATAGACCCCCATAAATGGCGTTAGAAACTTCAGCATTGAAAGTTCTTAAAGCCTAGGTCTTGGAGAAATTATTTAGTTGTTCGACCGTATAATATACTACCAAGATTGTTCTACCGTAAAACAAGAAGGACTACGACCTCTACGTACCCAGAGACCTAGGAAATCAATCAAAGTTCATGTTAATCCCTTAATAGTCATGAATCTAGGAGACCGCTTTGATATATTCCTCAGTTTACAAGAAAAAGATGATAGGATGTTTTCGGATGATCTAAATAAGGAGCTCAAGCTTCTCAAAGTTAAACTAACAACGGTCGTACAACGTACTGGAGGCAAGGATACGAAGCTGCCGAGACTCCGCGTCACATTCGCTGTTCAGTCAGTCAGCTATTGCTGACGACATGGTGGATATTTTACTTGTCAGTTAATTGCTCAAATCTGGAAGGTATGAGATTGTTGTAGGAAATTCAAACTTGGTAACCCACGTCCTCCAGCATCCTCTACTACCTTTCCCCATAATGTGACATGGTCAGCATGACGTATCACTAAAGGTTGGGCGACATCAAATATAAATGAGTACTGATCTAGCTCTGTCGCTCCAGTAAGTACGGGTCTCCAAGAATGGGTTTTAAAGTTGCTTCGTACTTTTGATCGATCGTCAACCAGAAACTCAGTCTAGGTTTGGTACGGCTAGAAAGGTTGGATAACCTGTGTTGTTCCTGGTAATGGTCCCTCACTTTTTCCCACTTCTAATTCATTGACAGCGTGTTGTAGCAAGGAGTTTCACTATTTGATGTGAAAGTTGGTAGTCAGCTGACAAGTAATTGGTCATGAGCTTGTGAAATTTATTGGAATGTCCTCTTAAATTCTTCTGTAAGACGGGAGAATGTGTACTTTAGATGGGAAATTATTATTAAGCAGATTAAAGATAGTGTTTAAGTCATGTCTAATCCTTTTGTATTACGACAGAGTAATAGGCTTGGTTCAGCCAGCCTCTTATGCACTGACTGCGAAACTACCTTGAGGCACTCAACTAGACACTTTTACAGCTAGACAACTTGGGGCAAACCCATACGGTTTGCTAGTGTCCAACTATAAAATCATTTGTCCCTAAAACAAAGTTACCGCTCGTCCCAATATTATTCAACTTGGATAACAGCCCGTTGTATGAGACTTTGTCAAAAGCTTTGTTGAAGCCAATGAAGGCTAAATCTCTAAGCAGCTTTTGATCTTTCATGTCACAATAACATACTCGTGTTACCAATAAGTTGGTGAGTTATGAGTAAACTATAATTAAAAAATTTGCTTTTCAAAGCAAATGAAAGGGGTGTAATGCAACAGAATAAATATAAACTAAAAGGATCATGGATTTCTGCCTCGAAAGACTTATCGCTCACAGATTGTGTAAAAAAGTGAGATTCTGAAACAGCGATACAGCTGAAATTAAATGCCGGTGATGAATATCTCAAAAAGATGGATTTTAGGAAGTTTGGGCTTCTGAAGTGAGCAATTCCGAAGCCGGTTTGGGTGTAGTACGAATTCGTTTAAATGGTTTTCATGTTACAAAAATGTTCAGAACTTGCTTAACAAATCGTTACAACTCTGCGTACAGACAGACTCTAACGAACTGTATGTAATCGCCTTGACGATCGTGGCTAATTCAGTCGATAGAGTACGCGAGTTCGTGAAATTCGAATAAGAGGTGGTTAAAACCAAAAGCATAAAAGGCGAGGGGTAACATCATAGCATCTCTTTGGCTGTTGTGGTTGCCAATATATAGTTAGTGATTTGGTTGTGTCCATGTTTTCACTAATTTCAGTCACAATAATTTCAAGTATTTTTCGTTTTAAATGAACCACTCAGTGTTGTATACCACGATAGCTTTTATTTATCTGATCCCCTTTCGCAAATACCTCTGATGAATTGGTTACTTTATATCATGTGTTCATATCCATTTATTTATCAGATGAGAAGTCACCTCATTGTTTCCGTTAAATTGTGTTAATATTCTAGTCTTTGAATGCTTCTGTCAAGTGTCCGTTATGGACGTTTCATACCCTGGAAATCAATGCCTGGTAGTGTTTGGGGTGGTAAACAACGGAAAATCCCCCGTTTAACTAATGCGCGTAAAGAAGCGTTTTTGGATGAGCTTCTTATTTCTCGCCAAAACCATATGTACCTTCAGAAACCGTATTTCAGTGAAGAAGTTGAAGCTGCTACTCTAGCTGATGAGAAAGTGAGTTCCTCTTTATTTTTCTTTTAGTTCTAAGGTATTTGGTGGGAAAACATTTTAAGTCTAAAAGTAATTATGAATTCTAAAATAACTTCCTTTGGGTATTGTTAACCGTAAAGCCAGTTAAAATTAGTGCAACTTCTACATTGACCACGGATAGAAAAGTTCCGTTCATTAAGCTGTATAGAAGGCTTTTTCTGTGTCTAAATATAGATAATTAAGGTTACTCAATGAATTTTTCTAAAGTTGCTCCGAAATTATAAGTGTACTAGTGAGGAGGTAAGTCAAAAGTAGGAAAAAACTAACGCAGTTGATGGATTTTCTTTTATACTTTGGTTGAACTTGATAGGCACTCATATTTCTAAAAACACACATAAATGTGAACTTTTGTTTACCATTTTCACCATCATTTCATTTGTTTTTTATGCTACTCATTCTGTATGGTGTCATCTATAATTTAAACTTGTTAAAATTCGTTGTGTACAACCCAATAACAAACGGTGTATTAGTTTTGACATTGTATACCCATCTGATTAATTGAATTTTAGTTTACTGATTCCGCATTATTCACGTCTGAAACTTTTCCGATCATACACAGTTAGGACTAAAAGTCCTTATCCACCGATCAATCAACTAAGTATTGGAAATGAAAGTTGAGAAACTTTTAGATAATTAAGTGACATTGAGGAAAATGATCCCTTCAAATTCCTGGTTGCGCCTATTTCAGTTTAGGCGACTGATTAGTACCATTATGTTTAACATCAACAGTGCACGTCAAAGCCCAGGTATCTATTTAATTATTGGGACATAGTTTAAGGCAACAGTTCAGTAACTACTATTTGAAAATCTTACACTTTTTAAGTCAGTCAGAGGTTATGTCGTTATTAAATCTTAGATTCTTTTCTGATTATCTTAAATGTTGTACCTTTAATTATGTATTTTCAAATCCAGATGCGTGAATTGCAAATGGAAGATATGATTTTCTATGATCGATATGCTAAACAATTCAATCGTCGTTTTCCTACACGTAATTTGGAAACATTTTGGGATAAATTGTCAAAAACTAAACGTTATGATGTTTGATAAATTAGGCATGATGTTGACATTGTTTTATGAGTTCCTGTTCTCCTTATAGTTTACGTTACAAACTATGCACTTATGTATATATTCGAATTACCATAAATACCGGAAGTTCCTAGATGACATTTTTCCAATAAAAACTTAACTTAACCATACACTTGTTTTTCGTCTAGATTTCCTTCATAAATGTTTATTATCAATGAAAAGAACTAGATATCATCAAATAGATATCATTTCTTACTTCAAAGTTGTTTGATAGTGCTTATCTTATACTTGTTTCGCATTCAAACCTAACTTCTTGAGTCGTGACACACACATAATTCCAATCTTTAAAGAACACATGTCATTTCTCGATGTTTATCGTCTTTATTCGTAAATCATTTTCGTCTACCCCACTACCATTCTGTCATATTTAGTTGTGGCTCAAAACCTCAGCTGTCTATTGTAATGTCGTACAACTTAATTCACCCTGCTCAGTTATGGGGATTCGGTGTTTTTCAAAATCGTTATAGAGTGTTAGATTTTCAAGTAAAGTCGACCATTGGTCAAATTAACCAATTTTTTATTATTGAGATAATGAACCGAACTTAACAATCTCCACAACCCCTATAATGATAATCAGTTGTTGTAGGTTTTTACACCTGTGTGTATGTTTGTCAGTAATTTGTAGTTAGAAGCCACATAAATTCAGGCCGAGAAAATTTGGTGACTAAGTAATGACTTTCTGAGACGTACCTATACCATTGTGAGATTTGAATGGACAACTGCATCTCTGTTCTAATGTGGTATGGCAACTTGAACTGATGTACGTACGTACGAAGTTCTACATTGTTATTGACTGACTGAAACAAATAACTAGATAATTTGATTTTTCAGATCACAAAATAAGTATGTTTCATTATCGAAGTTGGTTTAGCCGAACGAAATAGCTGATTTCTTTGTTTATTGTTCACCTCAAATCTGTCGAGATGTATACCTACACTGAGTTGACAGTAATTTGAACAATAAACAATTAGAGGTCAATCAGTTTGGTAGTTATCGAGGACTTTTTGGAACATTGATAGATCGCTATTTTGTGTTTCACCGCGACAGATACGTATTATTATATTTACGGATAAGATGAAAGTTCGTGTTACAAAGAGAGATAAGTTTCTTTTCCCGATAAATTCTATTGTGGGCTGTCTGCTGATTTAGGTATATTTATGGTTAGATGGGTGTTCTATCGAAAAGGGATTAAAAACATGAGACTGTCATGTTAAAAAAAGAGGCATCAGTTTTGATGGAGTTTCGTTCTCTGAGCTGGATGGTTTGGTCGTGGAGCTTCCATCGTTCTTCTGAACGACATCATCAGCCCAAACTTCAGGTAGAAGTGAAGTGTTTGAATTTCTCCATATGCATTTCACAGCTTGTTCTGTACACCTCGATGTTGATTGGTTCATGTTGATCTTAAATTTGTCGTTGTTTACTCCTTTGTTTTGGTTGTGTCTCCCATTGGTTTGATCTTTGTTCCTATATTTGTGCCTAATTTTCCTGATTGGTTGATAAGTTGGATCGATTTCAATGTGCTTGATGATTGCTGATTGACCTGAGTGCCGGGCTTCTAAAAATTCTCTGGTGTTTTTGGAATTTCCTCTGTCCAAGATTTCCACATTTTTCCAATCGAATGAGTGTCCGCAGTTATCCTTGTGTATTGATATAGGTGAGGAAATATCTTGGCGTTTGACTGCTAATTGGTGTTCATGTAGGCGAAGGTGAAGGGAGTGTCCGCTTTGTCCAATGTAGTGTTTTTCTCAGTTGGCCCAATTTATTTTGTAGATGATGTTTGATTTGTTTCCCTTTGTTATTTCATCCTTTGGTTTGCATAGGATTGATTGTAGTGATTTTGTCGGTTTGTGTGCCACACCTATCCCGAAGGTGCCTTTTATGTATGGCAAGGCGATCCTTTTGTTGATTTCTGTACTTGACTTGGGTTCTGATGCTACGTGCGGTTAGTATTTTTTGATGAAGTTGATTGGGTAGCCGTTCTCTTGGAATACGTCCTTCAGGTATTTCTCTTCATTTTTTCTCGTGCTACCAGTGTGCTGCAGTGTGTCCTTACCCTCTTGAACAAAGTGTGTAATCAGTTGATTTTGTGAGCTCTTGGGTTGTTGCTATTGTAGTTGCGAATTTGATCTGTATGGGTCGGTTTCTTATACACTTGAGTTTCCAGTTTTCCTGTGTCGCTTCTAGTGATTAATATATCCAAGAATGATAGTTTGTTGTCTGACTCCTGTTCCATTGTGAACTTGATGTCATCGAAGACGTTGATCAGCTTGTAATTGTTTTCCAGCTCACTCTTTTTGAAGATGACGAATGTGTCGTCTACATAGCGAATCCAAATTTTCGGCTTGATCACTGGTAATATCGCGGCTTCTAGTCCTTTGTAGCTTCATCTTTTGGTACTCTATGACGTGTTGGTATTTGCGGATCCTGTAGTGTGCATCCGTTATCATTAGGTGAACCATTTTTCTTCCACTTTGCTCAGCTATTTTCCATTCTAATAGGCAGCTGATTGGAGGTCTATATCTTACACTTGTTGGTAGAACATGCTGTCGAAGACACTCATGGAGAAAATATAGTTGTTCTTGAGTGGAAGCTTGGCTTTTGGCGAAATTCTCCCATTTTCGAACAACGAGAAACGTATTACGCTCATATGATTTTAAGATGGTGGAGAAGATTTGTAGCTCAGGTGGATGATTTTGATGGAGTTTTGTTGTCTGAGCTGGATGGTTTGGTCGTGGTGCTTTTAAGGTCAGTAATAACCAATCAATATCGAGGTGTACAGAACAAGCTGTGAAATGTATATGGAGAAATTCGAACACTTCACTTCTATCTGAAGTTTGTGCTGATGATGTCGTTCAGAAGAACGATGAAATCTCCACGACCAAACCATCCAGCTCAGAGAACAAAACTCCATCAAAATCATCCACCTGAGCTACAATTCTTCTCCACCATCTCAGAAACATCAGTATTACGTAAGCATGGTCGATAGAAAACATATTCATCGTCCAAAGCTATCTACAGGATGCATCACCGTGGCTTCTATCATATAAAAGAACTTATCTAATTTTTGTTCCTACCATGTCCATAACCTTTGATTTTTCAAATACCTCCTCCTGCCTGCCTGTTTGTTAACGTTTTAATATAAACCTTTGTATTTCAGTTTCCATATGTTCTGTAATTACACTTCATTTAAGATTGGTCTTATCATACTATGTACCTTGATTTCATATTTCATGACTGTTATCTAGTCTTTGTAACATTCTTGAGATGGTTAGTTAGTTTTTCACGCTTTATGACAGTCCGTTTCCCGGACACTATTCGCTCGTATTTCGAATCTTCACCCCTTCCCCCCCCGTTCCAGCCTAACAAGTTGGTGAAGTCTATTAGGCCCTTCTGGAGAGAAACAGGCCACATCGAAGCACAGCACAACTACCAGGACTAGAATAACTTGTTGCGATCGGTTGGAGTTTGCCCCGTAGGGAGCAGCCCCCTACATCCCATACACCACTTTTGTGAATTTTTCGTCGTTTTTCGATCTAGGAGTAATTGTGCTGTGATTCTTTGCGGCTTTCGTAATCAGTTTGTGGGTATCGGTCGAGTGGGTGATTAGCCCGATCTCTACCACCCGGGTTACCGCTCACGTTAGTTCATGAGTCATCCATCTGATTATCCAGGAAGCACGACACGGACGTGTGAGTCGGGTTATGCCTCCCTTAAATCTTCACTATTACATTCAACTCACTTTCCTCAGATCTTCCATAAATAAAATAACTAAAAAACAAAATCGGAAAGGAATGTCATTAGAAAAATGTCAAAAATTCATTTCAAATATTTATGCTTTATTTCCTGGGGAATTTCTAATTATTCTTTAATCAATGACTAGCTTGTTCATTGCATAACAACCACTGTTGTTGTTTTCTACAAGTCATAGCGACAGTAAACTAAAATTAAAATTAAAACTCATCAATAATAATTATTTATGGTGATATTTATCTTGGTTGACTACCAGCTGTCAATCATGAAAACTTGAATAATACTCTTTTTAAAATAACTAATAGAATCATTTCAACTCTATCATTATAAATCTTTGAGTTTATTATGTAATTTCACTTGACGATACCTGACTAATAATCACTGTAATCTTTTGTTTTATAATAGTGACTAAAAAATAATCATATGATAGTAGCTAGCTCCCAAATGCCCTAGTATGGTCGAGAGTGAGGAGAGTTAGCTCTCCCTCTCGAAATGCTCTCACATGGTCATGCGTATAGAACCACTACCAGGGAAGTCCTACTCACTACCTTCTCGTGCCATTACTGTTTTTTTTACGAAGTTGAGAAGACGAAAAGCGATTATGCGACGCTGTAACCGGGTTGGTGGATACGGAGAGTCCACCTAGGGGAGTTGGGAAACCCTGATTCCAAACCAATGGTGAATATAGGCTCCAGTATCCTGAAGGAACAAATAACGTATGAACCAATCGTTGGTCACCGGCTACCATGTGACTGCATCTTTCAATGTTGCTCCACTGCCTTGTGAATCAGACCTTTATGTCGAAGGCTCCAGGTTTGGCCCTCTAAGAAAACTACCTGCTTCGGTTTTGGCACCCGGGTAGTATCCCAGCCCTCACACAAATCGAATCATTTATGTGGCACATATCTATTTGTCGCCCCCTTGTACCAATGCTTATGTGTTCAAATAAATAAATAATAATGATAGTGACTAATTAAGGAATTCAAAAAAGAATAAAACTTAACAAAATTTAATCGAATTCCGCTCCTCATTTAATAGATATTAATTAGATCACCAGTTGGTAAATTCAAGTTTGGCTTTTCGATAGCATGATATATTTGAGGATTTACCATTCCCCAACATACAGTCATGTTCTTTTTAGTTATTAATTTTGAGAAGGACTCTCAGAATTTGTACCCAGAAGCTGTGGTTAGTAAGATCCCGCATAT